GAAATCCAAATTTTCATTGTCTTTGATCACCACCATTTATAACAAAATTTCAAAGAAACAAATACAAAAACTTGTAATTTTTACAAATATCTTTTGAATAATACAAAACATTGAGATTATATAATTAAGCTTATCAATCAAAAATCCAAATTCGAAACAAAATTCGAATAATAAAGAATTTCCATATATGTTTTATCAATAGAAATGTTGTGTAATACAAAATTTTTAATTTTATTTTAGTAAATAATTTGCAAAAAATTCTTAGATTCTTAATTCGCTTTTAATAATATTTGATATTTAAATTAATAATTACTTGATCATAAATTCAACAAAATGACTCATATTGAGCATCCAAAAACATGGATGATTTTGATATTGAATGGAACAGTCCTTTTTGCCAAATTTGTTTTTTAAATAGATGTGATGTTATCGAATATTCCAAATATGAAAAATATTGTAAAAAATGCATACATGTAGAATTCATCGTTGGAACTGAACAAAAAAAAATATCAACAACTACCGATATTTTATTAGAAAAATTTCCAAATTCTTTCTTTTCTCATATAATCGAAGATATATTCATCAGCGGCAATAAACATATTTTTGAAATACCAACAAATTTTATCCATATTGACGAAATCGAACGTGTACTTCAAGGTCAAGAATTACCAGAAAATATCAACATGACTCTTAACAACGAATTGTGGTATTTCACAGAAGAAGAACACATCACTCCCTTTGAATCTGAAGATTTTTGCAATTGTGGAAATCTTAAACAAAAAAAATATCATAATTGCAAAACATGCCAAGAAAATTTAGTAAAAGAACGGGCACCTTGGTGTTTTGAATGTAATAAAAATAAAGTCAGTTGGAATTGGAAGACAAAGAAATATTTTAATAATTGTCAGACTTGTGGGAATAGAAAATTATGTAATTTATGTAAAAAAAATAAACCAGAATGGAATCATAAGAAAAAAATATATTACGAAATATGTAAATTATGTTTTAATTACAAAAAACAAAAAGAAAAGCCCATTCTTGAGATAAAAATCATGTGTTCAAAATGTTCCAATCATTTTGAATATGATATATGTCATATTGCAAATCACTATCTTTTTTAATTATATCTTCAAAATTCTTAAAATCTTTTTTTTTTTTTTTATTATTATTTGTATAACAAATAAATTAATCTTTTAATAAATATTACACAAATAAATAATGATAATCCAAATTTAATCAAATATTCTTTAATTAAAATAAACCAAATATATAAATTTTTATAAAAAATCATAAATCATAGCAAAATTCTAAATTTCAAAAAAAAATTGAATACCGATTCATGTACTATTTGCTGCGAAAAATTAAAACCCAACGATATTTTTTTTCTTCCTTGTTCTGCCCACCCCATCCATTTCATCATCAATGTGTGCTTAGATTGATTAATAATCGAGATACTTCATTTATCAATTGTCCAAATTGTCGATACGAGATATCAAAAGATGAAATCGAAAATATAGTTGAACAAATTAAACTACAAAATGAACTTTGAAAAAAAAGAAAGAATAATATTACAAACGAATTAGATAGTTTGAAAATAGAAGATTTTGATAAAAAACAAGAAGATAAAATTAGAAAACTTCAAACTAATATAAAACGAAAAAAAACTAGATTAATGAATGATTATAAAAAAAATTTAGCAAAATTGAATAATGATGAAAAAAAACAAACTGAAATAATAAATAAAAAATATATTCAAGAAAAAGCGAATATAAATGAAAAAATCAAGAAAAGAGAACACGAATTAAAATCAGAAGATAATTTTAAAGATGTGATCGAAGAAGTAATTACTGCAAACAAAAGACAAAGAAGAAATACTGAAAATATTGTAATACTCGATGAAGAAATTAGAAATAATGTGAATACTTTTTTAATGATATCTCAAGAAAGATTTGAACAAATAGATAGAAATCGAAATTAATTATAATTTTTTTGTATTAGAGATACTTATCACATGATGACCAGATATAATGTTATTATTATTTTGTTAAATAAATAAAAATTTGTATTTATTATTAATTCTTTACGAATATTTAAAATATATAAAATGTATTGTGTTTATTGAAAAAAAATCAAAAAAATGAATATCGAATACGTTATCAAATATCTTCAAAATAATAGTTGTAAACCATATAAAATTCATATCAAAAAAAATGGTCATGTTAATAACCAACCTTTTGTTAAAGGAATGATTGAAAATGAATTTGATTTTCAAATATTTATAATCAATCCTTATATTAAAAACTTGAAAGAAACTCAATACCAAATCATGAAAAAT